GAGTAACCTAGGGAGCTACTAAATAGCAGAGCTGGAATGTGCACTTAGGCTGCCTACTTTGAGTCTTTCCTCTTAATCACTAATTTATGTCACCTGTGGAAACATTATGTAACTTATGTTGTAGGCATTTGTATGCCATGCATGGAAAACAGCCATAAGGGCAAACAGCTGGAGTCATCTCTGAGCTATGGCATTATGAGTAATGTTCATTGTTTTCTTTTCCTTTTCCTTGTTTTACTAATGCTCTACACCAAACATATTCCTTGTGATGAGGAGCAAATAATTATACACAGCAAACTCATTACAGTGGTTGCCTCTGAAGACAGAGTGGCAGAAATAGGACTCAAGGTAAGAGTTGAAGAGGACTCTCATTATTTCTTAAAAATAAAAGGTAAATCCCGACCATCCTGGCTAACACGGTGAAACCCAGTCTCTACTAAAAATACAAAAAAAATTAGCCGCGCTTACTGGCGGGGGCCTGTAGTCCCAGCTACCGGGAGGCTGAGGCAGGAGAATGGCATGAACCTGGGAGGCGGAGCTTGCGGTGAGCCCAGATGGCGCCACTGCACTCCAGCCTGGGCAACAGAGTGAGACTCCGTCTCAAAATAAATAAATATATAAAATAAAATAAAAGCAAATCCCTTATAATGCCAAAAGGTGTTACCTCTAACCTATGGACTGAGCAAAATTTAGGGGACATAAGTAAAAAACAGGATTTTGGATGTCATCCATTTATATTATTTAATTTTTAAAAAAATAAAGTAAAGATAATCTAAGTGCTAACTATTAACACAGTGAATGATTTTAGTACCGGTTTGGAAACATCACATTATTAAAAAAAAAAAAAAATTATCTCAGTGCCTGTGTGTTGCTGATAGGCTTGACAAACATTTTTTCTGCCTAATGGGTTATTTGGTTATGACAAAATTGCTTCTTCTACACATGTTCCAGCTATAAGAGGGTAGCTTTCTATGTGAGAATATATCTTTATCGGGTTTCCCAACAGCTAAAGCATATGGTGTGTAATTAAAAGGCAACATGAAATAACTGTATTATAATATCTCTTTAGGAGTAAAATCTTAAAGTTGCCCAAAACCTTTCAAAAACTTTATGTAAGAAAGTGCTATGTATGAAAGTCACCTAGATGTTCTGTGATCCACTCCAGAATTAAATCTGCCTTATATTGACTCCAAGAGAAGTGTCTATAGTCACTTGCCCTTCAGCATGAAGTAATAGGTTATATCGAGGGATGTTATAGGAAGCAGCTCAGCACTGCCAGTATTGTAAGGATATTTTTGAGGGTGTTTATTATTATAAGCCATATACAGACCTAGAGGAGAAGTTCTACTCTGACTTTTTACTAGAATATTTCCTGAACAACAGTTTTATTTTTCACCTTATGAACACTATGAATTCTGTACTTGGTTGTGCATTCTTTTCTTGTCTGGCTGTTAAAAAAAAAATTTAGGGTCAAATGTATGGCCTAAAAAAAGAATTAGAAGAATATCTGCATGACAATAACACTGGCAAAAACATCTTAAACAGGACACAGAAAGCACCAGACTTAAAAGAAAAGATTGACAAATTGGACCTCATTAAAATTAAACTTTCTGTTCGTCAGAAGATAATATTACGATAATGGAAAGACAAGCCATAATTGGAAGAAGATATTTCTAAGATACACATCTAACAAGCAACCCAAGTTAAACTGAACCAAAGACTCAAAAAAATTTCACAAAAGAAAATATCAAAATGGCCACTAAACATGTGAAGGCACACTCATTAGTTATCAGAGAAATGTGAATTAAAAGCACAATAAGATACCACGACCCCCCCATGAAAATGGCTAACATGAAGATTGGAAACACAAAGTCATGATGAAGATATGGGCAATGGGAACTCTTTTATATTGCTGATCGAAGCATAAATCAGTATAACAACTTCAGAAAATTACGTGGCAGGACCTACTAAACTAAAATATTATGCAGCAATTCCACTCCTGGGAATATATCCAACAAAAACAAGTGGTTTTATTCACATGTACATGTACAAAAATATTCATAATAGCTTGATTTGTAATAGGCCAAAACTTGAAACAACCAAATGTTCAACAGTAGTAGAATGTATAAATTAATCGTCATGTGTTCATATAACAAAATTCTAAACAAAAGTGAGAGAAAAGTGAATCTCAAAGACATTCTGTTGAGCAAAAGCAATCAGACACAAACTGTATAATGCCATTTATATGAAGTTCAAAAATAAGCAAAACTAACACATGATAAAAGTCAGAATAGTGGTTACCTTTAGAGGAAAAATAAAGATGGCATCAGGCTCATGAGAATGTTTTATAATTTGATCGGGGTGGGTATACACACATTTATGTGAGAAAAGTCATTGAGCTGTACATTTAAGATTTGTGCACTTATGTAACCTATGCTGCTTTATATTAAAAAAAGAAATAATGCATGGTTTGTCTCTTTGGGCATTTATATGGCTACATGACATGTGTTTGATATAATGATCTAATATTCTAGCTCCATGAGGCCTTATTTTCCTTTTCATCTTCTCTCTTATTTTTAATTATTTTATCTTGCTATTATTTGCATAATAGCATCCTCCCGAGCCATCTCAAGTCCTAGTTAGAACAGTTTATAAGTAAGTACAAATATATCTGAATAAAACTTCAGGTGTTTCTAAATTGGACATCAGAAGACTTTGAATCACAAGACTCAGATTTTCTTTTTCATTCTGACTACACTTACTAAGAGTACAATTTATGGAGAAATTACTTAAGATAATATCTACTTGACATGGTTGTTAAAGGAATTGAAAGAGCATAGCTAAAAGTATTTTTCAAATTGGACAGAGACATAAAAATTACATTTAAAAACAGCTAATATTAATCTAGGAACACAATCTCCAATTAAACAATCAAACTTTAAAAAATTACATTTTTCAGAGGAAAAAAAAACTATTTGAAGTCTATAATTTCTGTCTTTCCTAAGATTATTTGTAATTGTTTTAAAACATACTCGGTATCCATGTTCAAATTCTGTCCAAGTAAACACCAACATGAGTTTATATGCTTGAGAAATGTCTGTTTATATGCTTGAGAAAGGATTAACTTGTGTGAAGCTATCAAAGGAGAGGATCTGTTTGCCCATCAAAAATTATTCCAGTCATGCAAAATATTTTGTTATTGAGACATAAATCTATAATATACTAAGAATCAAGTTAAGTTTATAAATTAAATTCAGTAAAATAAAATTTAAGTTAGCCACTGTTTAGATTGGAAAATTAAGGAGAGAGTAATCACTTGAGCTCAGAGTTTGAGGTTCCAGTGAGCTATAATCATGCCACTGTATTCCAGCCGTGCAACAAAGTGAGACTCTGTATCAAACAAAAAAAGAGAAAGAGTGAGATAAATGTTAAGAGGTGTTTTCATCTCTCCTTGTGCAGATAAGAAGTTTGTGGAAACACAATAGGTGCTATCAGACCTTCCCAAAGGAGTTTCTGAATACAAATGTTCTGACTTTTATGTATAAGGATATCAGCTATACCAGGTGATTCTCTCAAGTTTCTTTCTAATTTAACACATTCCTCAACACATTCCAAGTAGCTTCTCACCTGAGATATCCAATTGAGATTATTCTTATCAAGATAACGTGGGATTCTCTTGTTGCTAGATCCAATAAACATGTTGTAGTTTTAACTCATCTCACCACTGAATATTAGACTCTCTCTTCTTTCCCCCCACTCCCCGAAACAGAGTCTTGCTCTGTTGCCCAGGCTGGAGTACAATAGCACAATCTTGGCCTCCACCTCCCGTGTTCAGGCAATTCTCCTGCCTCAGCCTCACAAGTAGCTGGAACTACAGGCACGCGCCATCATGCCTGGCTAACTTTTGTATTTTTAGTAGAGATGGAGTTTCACCGTGTTGACCAGGCTGGTCTTGAACTCCTGACCTCGTGATCCGCCTACCTCGGCCCCCAAAAGTGCTGGGATTAGAGGCGTGAGCCCCTGTGCCCAGCCTACTCTCTCTTCTTAGAAAGCTTCCTTTCCTTCCTTTCTGTGACGTCACCCTCTCTTGGTTTTCCTCCTATCTTTAGAAGCTACTTCTTAGTGTCTTTTGTGAACTCTACTTATGCCCATCTTTTAAAATTTGGTGGTGCTTAGATTCTCCTCTGTGTCACATTTATCTGTCTCCCTAGGCAATACCATTCAGTCATCTGAATGCAAACACCATTTGATAATGACTATCAAACCTCTAACTTCAGCCATGATCTCACTCCTGAGCTCAAAATTTATGTAACTCTCTATTGGACATCCCATGCAGGTTTCCTGTAGAGGCTTCAAAATCAGTTTTACGAAGAGTTTATCATCTCTCTCCCTAACCTGTTCCTATGTGACTGATTTCAGTGAGCACTTTATCACCCATAAAGCTGCTAACACTGAGAATTCTCTGTCAACGATTTCTTTGACGCAACAAGAAGTCCTGTCAAATTTATTTGTTAACTAGCTCTGCAATTCATTCATTCTATCTTATTTCTTTCAGCTACATAATTCTTGTCTACAATCAATTCTACTCAAAACAAAAAAACCTAATTATTATTCCTCGCTTAATATCCTTTATCACTGCTAAAGACTTACATTCCATAATGACCATTAACGACTGCCATCATGGTTCTTGAAGAGTTATTTTTCAGAAAACTTTTTCTTATCAGTATAACAATTTTTTATAACACATTAAATAAATACAATATAAACAATAATATTTCGACATTAAAGTTTCAGGCAAAGACTTGATAGAGAAAGAAAAATTTGATGTGAAAGCAGTATTTGAATGACATCTTGTTTCTCACTTATAGAAATTTGTTTTCATTGTTCAAGTGATACATAGTGTTTCTTATGCAAAAATTGTTTGTATACATTGATTTGAGGTGGAACACATAATAACATTTTTCATTAGAAATAATGGAAGTGGGCAGACCCGGAGCAGCATGTGGACTCTCAGGCGCCACGCAGTTGCCGGCCTCCTGTCGTCCCCCAGCCCGGCCCAGGCCCAGACCCTCACCCGGGCCCCGCGGCCGGCAGAGTTGGCCCCGCTCTGAGGCCTCCAGGCCCTGCGCACTGGCATGGATGCAACCTGCACACCCCACCACGCCAGTTCGAACCTCCATGGCCTCAACCAGATTCGGAATGTCAAAAAGCAGAGTGCCTATTTGATGAATTTGAGGAAATCGGGAACTTTGGGCCACTCAGCCTCTCTAGATGACCCCACCTATGAAAGACTAGCAGAGGAAACGCTGGACTCTTTAGCAGTTTTTTGAAGACCTTGCAGAAAAGCCATACACCTTTGAGGACTATGATGTTTCCTTTGGGAGTGGTGTCTTAACAGTTAAACTGTGTGGAGATCTAGGAACCTACGTGATCAACAAGCAGACACCAAACTAGCAAATCTGGTTATCTTCTCCATCCAGATGTTATATGGAGTTGCTGGAGTATGAGAAGAGCTTCTTCATCCCAACAGCTTTCAAAGTGAAGCAGCAGCTCATGCCTGTAATCCCAGCACTTTGGTAGGCCGAGGTGGGTGGTTCACTTGAGGTCAGGAGTTTGAGACCAGCCTGGCCAACATAGTGAACCTGTTTCTGTGATCAGAATATATTACAATAATATAGGAGTTCGAGAATGTTGGTCAATGTGGGTCACACCCTCGGTGTATCTCTGAGTGTGCGAATCAGGAAAGCTGAGGCAGTGTTGAATATACTGATAATATCCCAGTAAGGTGGTCAGTTGTCGTGGAGCCAAGGCCCCACTGCACTCAGCAAGACGCCCCGACAAAAAAAAAAAAATATATATGGTGAATGTGCCTGTGGGTTGTGTCTGTGATCTCTTCCATGAGACTATGTCATGTTCTCCCTCTTTTCCAACTTACCTCCCCTCGCTCGCGCCCTGGTTTTCTTGCATAGTACTCCAAGAGAAAAATGCAACGATAGAAAGAGAGACAAGAGAAGGAACGTACCAGCCTGTTTTTCTATTAAGCGGCAACACACTTACAGTTGTCAACTGCAGAATTCATGAGACTTAATAAATTTGCACAAAAGAAGAGTCTTTAATTTCTCCTAAAAGATTGCAGCCTGCAGGGTGGTCATTCTGACAGGCTGAGAAATGTAGTCTCTGGCCAGAAGCCAAAAACAGACACTGAAGGTCAGAAGAATAAGATGGGCATTTATGTTGAATAGGATGGCCAAATATATGTATTCAATAAACTATAGGAGGAGTCATGAATAGTCATGAAAGGAGAAACATGCACATGCTCAGCTGAGCTTCATGCCTCTCCATGGGATGCATGTGCAAAAATTGGCAGCATTAGCATGATCAGAGGGTGGAGTTTTCTGTCCTCTGACATCAAAAGGTGAAACAGAGGACACAGAAACCCTCACTGCACATCCTCTGTAAACTGGCCAGAACCATTCCATTGTGGGCAGTCTGTTATCAGGAAGGAATGCTGGTTAGTTGTGCAGAAACTGCAAAAGGAAGGGGCAGTGTCAGACCATTGGTTGATATCAGCGGTGCAGCTCGTCCTTCCAAAGGGCTGATTTCTGTTTAACCTGTAGGAAGGAAATCCTAATGGTGTTTAGCAATGGAGAGGGTATAACAACTCATCATGGCAGGAACTTAGTTTTCAAGGTTTCTCTGGGGTCCCCTTGGCCAAGAGGTGGTGCATCCATTTAGTCAGCTGGGTGACTTAGGATTTCATTTTTATTTCTCCGAGTTTTATAAAACTCTAAAATAATTCTTTGACAGCCAGATGGGAGGGGGTCCCTGGAGAAACTCCAACCAGCCTGCCCACTGGGGTGGAGCCTCGGGAGTTTGCAGCAAGGAAGAGCCTGGCGCCTCCTTTTCCTTTGTGAACCTGGGATTCGAGCAGCCTGGTGGGAAGCACTCTAGCAGGGGACTCTGGCCTTGCAGAGGATCCCTGTTCCCCCCAACCCTTTATTTCCCCTTTTCACTTAATAAAACCCTGCTTTACTCACCCTTTAAACCATCTGCAAGCCTAAATTTTTGTGGCTGTGGGATGGACAAGAGCCTTATCTTTAGCTGAACTAAGGAAAAGTCCTGCAATGATTCCATTCTTCCCACCAAATATGTTTTGTTTCGAAAATATAGTTATCATAAATATGTCATTAATATTGTTAAATCAAATTTAGCCTAAAGCTGCCTCCTTACATAGTTTAAGCTTGACTTAAAGGTTATTCTGTACTTAGTGAATTGTAACCTACCTAGATGTGTAAACAAGACTGTGACCTACTCTTGTGACAATCATTGGATTTTGGCCAATCAGAGGTGGTCAACTCTTGACACTGCTTTCAAATAAGGCAAATATGGAGCTGTAACCAATCTGGCTGTTTCTATACCTCACTTCTGTTTTCTATATGCCACTTTTCTTTCTTTGTCCATAAATCTTCTTCCAGCATGTGACTGTGCTGGAGTCTCTGAGCCTACTCTGGCTGAGGAGGCTGCCCAATTCACAAAGTGTTCAATTAAACTCTGTTAAATTAAAGAAAAAAAAAGAAAGAAAAAAGAAAGAATGGAAGTTTTTGGCCAGGCACAGTGGCTCACCCCTGTAATACCAGCATTTTGGGAGGCCAAGGTGGGCGGATTACCTGAGGTTAGGAGTTCCAGACCAGCCTGACCAACATGGAGAAACCCTGTTTCTACTAAAAATACAAAATTAGCTGGGCGTGGTGGTGTGTGCCTGTAATCCCAGCCACTCAGGAGGCTGAGGCAGGATAATTGCTTGAACCCAGGAGGTGGAGGTTGTGGTGAGCTGAGATGCTGAGATTGTGCCATTGCTCTCCAGCCTGGGCAACAAGAGCAAAAGTCTGTTTCAAAAAACAAAAAAAGGGCCGGGCGCGGTGGCTCAAGCCTGTAATCCCAGCAGTTTGGGAGGCCGAGAGGGGCGGATCACGAGGTCAAGAGATCAAGACCATCCTGGCGAACACGGTGAAACCCCGTCTCTACTAAAATATACAATAAACTAGCCGGGCGAGGTGGCGGGCGCCTGTAGTCCCAGCCACGCGGGAGGCTGAGGTAGGAGAATGGCGTGAACCCGGGAGGCGGAGCTTGCAGTGAGCCGAGATCGCGCCACTGCACTCCAGCCTGGGCGATAGAGCGAGACTCCACCTCAAAAGAAAAAATGAAGGAAGGGAGGAAGGGAGGAAGTGAGGGAGGGAGGGAAATAATGAAAGGTTTCTCTTAATAAATGACTTTTCACTTAGCAGCAGGATTTATAAGAACAAATGAAAGTCATTGAGAGTAAATTGTATTCTCATTGCTTTCAGGATAAATTCTAAGCTTTTTAACATCACTTGAAAGATATACGGCCTGACTTCCGCTTCATCTGACACCAATCCCCATTTCACATTTTACCTTCCAGTCATGTGGAGCTACAGAAATCTTGCACCAACTCAGGAGCTGTGTTTCTTAAAAACACAGGGGTTGGCAGAACTAAGGTTGGCATGATTGAGTTCTCACATATGATAGAGTGTTCAGGGAAAACATTAAATATATATGAAATCTGTATACCACTGCAAAGAGGTATTTTAGAAAGCGTCTCCTTCCAGAACAAACTGGATCAACAAGTGACTATTCTTCTGAATCCTCTTCTTGAACTCTTCCTGAAAAATTATGGTGCTATTATGAGCTAGGAAAGCAGAATATTTTAAATATTTTGTTATACCAACTACTTTCATTTAAAGTTTACACATCAGCCCTTATTAGTTTTAAATTGAAGTGGGTTACTCATAAATATTGATTTTATGGATCGATGTCATTCACCCTGTATTTTGCTGATTAAAAAACTCTTCTTAGCCTCAATGTTGTTGTTTTTTTTTTAATTTTACCAATATTAGCCTTAATGTATTTGAATGGGTACAGTAGCTAAAACCTTTCTCAAAGGATCCTCTTAAATGAAATGTTAGTTGGACTGTAGTGAGAACATCTCTCTGGCTGCTTTGCAAAAAATGGATGCTAGCATACAAAAGTGGAAAAAGACTACTGTGGAAGTTGTTAGAATACTCCAAGGTAGTAGCTTGCCAGGGATGGTTGCGAGGAGATGGAGAGATATAGAATACAAAGGTTTTAGAATAAGCAACAAAAATGGGGAAGACTAGAAAAGGAAAGGTCAGGGTGAGGGAGGTAAGGAATCAAGAGATCTGTCTTGGGCATACACATATTATTTGCTACTAAACACACAAGTGGAGATTTTTAAGCAGTCAGTTGAAAATTTGGAGCAGAAGATGTAAATTTGGAAGTCATTTCTATATAGCCACAAAACTAGATCCCAAGGGAAAGAGTGCAGATAGCCCAAAATGATTTCATATTCAAACCATCAAAGGAATTAAAATGAATAGAAATGGACTCAATGGTGGATCAAATATCAAAAGAAGATGGCATAAAACAGGACTCTATTCCAGACTTCCTCTTCCCCAACTTACTCATGGAGGATTTGCACACTACTTCAAGTCTTTTTTAGAATGAAGTGGGCATTAAATAAATAACAAATAATTTCTTACAGAAGGTGTGCCCTCTTACCATGTCAAACAGGAAGTTAAACATTCGTCTTTCTACTGATCACATATCAGTGCGGCTTTCTGGAAGTGCCCTTAAATAGCGTGTTAACCTGAGCTTATTACCAAGCTCGAGACCATTTCACCAAAACCAAAAGCGTTTGGCATGTGTGTGACATGCAGAGGGGTAATTATAAATAAATCCATTTCACAGGAAACCCATTTACTTGTAGTTCAGTATATTGTGCAGCTAAACCAAGTTTTAGAACTATAGAAATGTTGTTCTCCTCAAAAAAATATTCTAGAAGAACTATATCAAAAGCAGTTAAATAGCAGAAGCTAACTCCTGCCTCTACATCCTCTTTAGAAGCCACACATCTCTTGATACTCTGGGGACAGAGCTCTTATTCAGGATTTGCAACACAATCTCTTGGGAATTTTATTTTTAAAATATTCACACCCAAGCCTCACTCTTGGGGATTCAAATTTGGGAGGTATGTGAAAAGAGTATTCTGAAGAAATTCTTCATGTAATTTTGTTGCTGATTCCTGGTTAGGAATTTCTGCTCGACGGTAAGGACCTCTGAGGTTTTAAGGGAGTGAGCATTTGAGATCCAGAAAGGATTTGGGGAAGCTTCTTTGCCTTGCTTGCGCCACTTGATTGGCTGTAATCCACCTGTGAATGTCACCGTTTAATTTGAATAATAACTCAAGCCAGGTTCTTTAATTTTTATAACAAAATAGATAAATTTATCAAATATGTGTCTAGCATTTTATCGAAAGCAGATGGATCTCCTCTAGCTCACAATAACAATAACAATAATGATATTTTAGGCAAATATGATGACTGTCATATTCATTGTTCTCTCGATTTGTTCAAAATCTACATTAGTCAATAAATACAAAACAGGGACTGTAATGCATATGTGATATTCTCACCAATCAATCTAAGTTTCTCTTCCTGAACTATCAGAAAGTCAAATTTATAAACTGTTTC